TATGATTCATAACAGCACAAAATTACAATTATGAAATAGCAACAAAAATAATTTTATGGCCGAAACTGGTTTGGCTCAGCGGTAGAGCATTAGTCTGCGGACTGAAAGGTCCCAGGTTTGACTCCGGTCAAGGGCATGTACCTTGGTTGTGGGCACATCCCCGGTAGGGGTGTGCAAGAGGCAGTTGATCGAAGACTCTCTCTCATATATGTTTCTAACTCTCTATCTCTCTCCCTTCCTCTCTGTACAAAATCAATAAAAAATATATTTAAAAATATATATAAATATATTTTTTATTGATTTTGTACAGAGAGGAAGGGAGAGAGATAGAGAGCTAGAAACATTGATGAGAGAGAGAGTCATCGACCAACTGCCTCTTGCACACCCTCTACCGGGGATATGCCCGCAACCAAGGTACATGCCCTTGACCGGAATCGAACCCGGGACCTTCCAGTCCCCAAGCCGATGCTCTATCCATTGAGCCAAACCGGTCTCGGCAATAAAATATATTTAAAAAAATAAACAAATAAAATAATTTTATGGTTGGGTGTCACCACAACATGAGGAACAAAAAGAGTCGCTGCGTTAGAAAGGTTATGAACCACTGCTCTAAAGGACACACTGGATCAGATGGAAGCTGCTGGGGAGCCAGGTCCTCGCGCATTAGCTCACTGTGACTCTGGCATGGACCACTTCCTCAAGTGAAACCTATTCTTTCTTTGCTGCAAGCTCCTGTGCATTCTTCCTTTCTTATTAAATTTAGCTTTATTGTTGAGTTATTACACATGTCCTCCATTGTCCCCCCATTACCCGCTTTCCACCCCACCCTAGGCCTGCACCCCACTATTTTCTGTGTCCATGGGTTATGTATATATGCATACAAATTCTTTAGTTAATCTCTGCCCTCCCCCTCTTGCCCCTTTCCTCTGAGATCCATTAGTCCGTGCCATGCTTTTATGGCTCTGGACCTATTTTGTTCATTAGATTCCACATATAAGTGAGATCATGTGATACTTGTCTTTCTCTGCCTGGCTTATTTTGCTTAGCATAATACTCTCCAGGTCCCTCCATCATGTGGTCTCAAAGAATAAAAGATCCTTTTTTTTTCTTTTTCTTCCTTTTTTTTTTTTTTTTTTTTTTTTTTTTTTTTTTTTTTTTAACGGCTGGATAGTATTCCATGGTGTAGATGTACCACAGTTTTTCTTATTCACTAATCTACTGATGGGCACTTTGGCTGTTTTTAGGTCTTAGCTATTGTAAACTGTGCTGCTATGAACATAGGGGTGCATATATCCTTTCTGATTGGTGTTTTGGGGATTCTTGGGATATATTCCTAGAAGTGGGATCATTGGGTCTAATGACAGTTCTATTTTTAGTTTTTTGAAGTTACTCATACTGTTTTTCATATTGGCTGCAACATTCTGCATTCCCACCAGCAGTGTACTAGGATTCCCTTTCCTCTATATCCTTGCTAGCACTTATTTGATTTGCTAATGTTAGCCATCTGACAGATGTGAGGTGACACCTCATTGTTTTAATTTGCATCTCTTGGATGCTTAGTGATGTTGAGCACTTTTGCATGTCTCTCGGTCATGTGTGTTCTCCTGTGCATGTCTTATTGGGCTTTGATGTGAGCAGGCAAATTAGTCCTGTGATAATTTTGATGCCCAACCTAGGGCACCCTTTTGCCTGTGGTTTTGTGGACCCAGGGCTTGCCACCAGGCCACAGTCTAGCATCTGCCTAGACCTATTGTCTTGTCTTGTAGGCAGAGGCTGGGTGGAAATCCATGACTGGGTGCCCCCAATTTACAATACTTAAAAAAAAAAAAAAAAAAAAATATATATATATATATATATATATATATATATATATATATATATATATATATATTGATTTTTTACAGAGAGGAGGAGAGAGGGATAGAGAGCTAGAAACATTGATGAGAGAGAAACATCAACCAGCTGCCTCTTGCACACCCCCTACCGGGGATGTGCCCGCAACCATTGTACATGCCCTTTACCGGAATTGAACCTGGGACCTTTCAGTCTGCAGACTGACGCTCTAACACTGAGCCAAACCGGATTTGGCAACCTACAATACTTTTGTTTGCAGTATAAGAAACAAGGGATTGAAAATTGACTAGATTTGGAATTTGCTCTGGTTTGGAAATTGAAGACATATTATAGCAAGGTTTCCCGAGTGATCACCTCAGGAAAACCCCCTATTCTAGGATCAGGGAAACCAAATAGGAACTGGAATGGGGGAGGAAGTGGTTCTTAAGAAATCTTTGTCTGATCTAGTCTTCTTTTCTCAGACTTGGGGAAACTTGGCGGGAACCAAGAGGTGTGCCAGTCTGTTTGTGGCTGTATTCCTTACCCGTGGAGTCTGTATTTTTTTCTTGTGGAAGAGGGCCAACTCTGACCGAGTTCCAGCAAACTTAGGAGTTGGCGGCAGAAGTTAGTCCAGGCCTACCTAGAGGCAGTGTTTATCTCATATTGACTAATCTAAGCAGACCTCGTATTTAAGACATAAGGGAAGTTTGACCACTCAACCCCTCCCTCCTGTTTTGTCCTGTCAGATTTGCTGCTATCAAACTTTAGGAAGATATATGTTAGATTTTATAACTACTTGTTCCCTGTTTGTTCTGTTGTATGAACTGTCTAATCCTAGGACTTAATCAAGATTGCTTGAGCTGAAAATAAATATTACTTTGATTGATAAAGACCTTAGTAACATTGGTAATCCCATCTCTGTTTCCCAGTGTAGCTCTCTGGGCTTTATCTTACGGAACTGGTGTACATTTAGCTACAAACCAATGGAAGAAAAAATGGGGCTAAGACAGACATTAACAGGGTTAAGACAAAGTGTTTAGTACAGCACTCTGAAAGGCTTATTGGACTTGGGCTGCTCTATTTACCCCAGCATGGGGAAATTGGAAAGATGGAAAAGATGACAATGAGAAACCTAACCAACAATTGCTTGGAGCAATAGTTAGGCTGGTAAAATCAATTTAAAGACTGATAACAGGCCAGGTTACAATTCAGCCTGGAGTCCTTCTTCCAACAAAGCAGATTTAAAAGAGTCTAGCCCTCGCCATTTGGCTCAGTGTATTTAGCATTGGCCTGTGGAATAAAGGTCCCAAGTTTGACTCCAGTCAAGGGCACAAGCCTAGTAGCGGGTTTTTGGTCCCTAGTCGGGGGGCGTGCAGGAGGCAGCCAATCAATGATTCCCTCTCATCACTGATGTTTCTAGCTCTCTCTTCCTCTCTGAAATAAAACAACAACAAAGAGCCTATATAGTTTCAGGGACTGATGCTGTGTAAGCCACACAGAGAGCTTTCTTGAACTGGTATCAGGATTTGCATCAGGGACGTTCTGGCTGTAGGAATCTGTCAGATTGTCATGGCTTCCCTTCATTCCAACAAAAATGAAGCTCTGAAACTTTCATCCAGGGGTCTGACTGGCAGCCTTATAGACCCAGAGCCTAACTGTGGTGTGGTGTGCTCTTGTTATTACTGAGCACACATATCCTGGCCAACTGCTACATCTACCATTGCTATGGCTCCTGTTTGTAAATGCAACACCTAGGATGCCCCTTCTAAGATACAGGGAAAATGAGCTAATCCTCCCTCTTGATTAAAACTGGACACATTCTTTGTTTCTTTTTTTTTTCTTTTACTTAAACTGGCCTCACCCAACACCCTTTTCATCCTCCCTACCATGTCCACTCCCTTAATCAATAAGCCCTCAGGAGAAGAGGTTCTAGTTTGTATCAAAGAATCTTAGGAACAAAATCTCGAGTCTGTAGGCCACAGAGACAGTTATGTCAAACTAGAGATAACATCTAGGCCTCAGCTGTTTCAGCTCCAGACCCAGAGAAGTGGCGAAACCAGATGAAGCGATGCTATTTTTGACAGTCAAGACTAGATGCACTGGTCAACTTCTCTCTACCCTAGTATCAGTCAGTAGAGACCATGACCCTAACTCCCTTAGTCATACGATTAATAACCATTGATTAGTCGGATCTTTGAGTACTAGCTCACCTGTGACTCCGGGCCGCTTCTTGAATTAATTAACCTTTACTTTTTTTTGCTGCAAACTCCTGTGCATGTCTTATTGGGCTGTGATGTGTCCTGGCAAGTGAACCCATTTAGTAACAATAGCAAATGAGTTTTGAATTTTATAGTTTAGCTTGCATACAATACTGAATGAGCCCTATATTATCTTCATTTATCTACCTATCGAATAGTGTCTTTATTTTATAAAAATATCATGCCACATCACCAAAAGCTAAATATAAGAGAATTTTATTTACAGAAAAGTCATAAAGATAAACAAAATTTTATTAACACAATTTTGTTAGTAATAACGAACAGACGAATGGTTTAATATATATCATTTGAATGTGATACACATTTAAAAAGTTTTCTACTTTCATCCATTTGTGTTTTTTTTTACATTTCAATTTTTAACAAATCTAGAAATAAGGCAGTATATATGGGCATATTTACTAAATACTTTTAAATTATGCTTCCTTCTACATCAGATACAAAGTCAATTTTAAAACCATCTGCATATTAAGTGGCCTTTTCATTATTATTCCTAAATTTAATGGAGTTAAGCAAAAAACAGAACTAAAAATGAATAAAAGAAACTATCATAAATTTTTTAAAATTTGACTTAAGCAATATCATAAATTAACAAAGACTTTTCCAAATATTGCTGCAAGAAGTACAATAAATGTTTTATAATGAAGTCTAGAATATTTTTATTTGTATCCTTGTCAATCAACTTGAACACACCAAAGCACAGAGCTGAATGTGAAAGGACCCTTTTTAAACAAATAGTACATGGCAGCACGTATCATTTTAAGGATAGAAGGAATATGAACTACATGCTTTGATGTGCATATGATTTTCTTTATCCAAGTAACACTCAGTGTTTCCATTTATTCTTGAATGACAAGATTCTTTAAGTACTTGTGAAAAACAGAGCATACTTTACTGATGGAAAGCTTCCAGTCTTATTCGGTTTGGATCTTCTGGGTGTCTCAAGGCAATTCCATTACGCAGGAGCAGCTCAATATAAGGTGGCCAAAAAGAATCACTGATTTTGACATATGGATCATGTGGAACATCAAATAATCTATTTAAAAGAATCTAGGAAAATATGTTATTTTAAGGAATGTGGAAAAGAAAACATCATTTATACAAATATTAAGTGCCATAGCAATAAAGTAAAACTATAAAATTCTCATCTCAATCACATTTCATAATAATATCAGTATCTCAATTATTGAAATAAAATTTTCATTTATCATTAACTTTAGCTATTTCAATACTGTAAGAGGCAAAAATCTTTTGATCTCACTTAGGTATGATGATAATAGAATTAAATATTATTCCTATTTTAAAGCAATTACTTATTTTAACATACTTAAAATCCTTATTTTTCATTTCTAATTCTAGTAGTTGCCAAAAGTAATTAAATGATAAAAATTCAACTTTAACATGAACATGTATATTGTTTTGTTTTTCACTAAATTCCAGTTCATATACTGTTTATTTTTATCATTGATAATGTAAGTTGGAGACAAAAAATTGTTCCTAATTCTAAATTTTAGATGAGATCTGAGTATACTATTGGAAAATTACAATGTTTACCCAGTTAATCACTGCTATTATCAGCCACATATATGACAACTTTTGTTTTTTAAAAAAAATTAAGTCATCCATAAAAATAGTGGTTAGTTTTAGTATTATTATAAACTGGAATTAAAAATATATTAAGATATCCTAATTTGATAAAACATACAAATCTAATAAATATTTGTATTTTGCTTTGGTTTTTTTTTTGCCTTTTGTTTTCAGAGCATAATTATCTATATTAAGATATCTTGAAGCATCAAAACTATATAACAGGATAAAAATAGAGACTTGAGTATCCAATTCATAAAATTACAATGAAACAAATTTAATGATATCATTCTTTCCCCTTAACTTGACAATTAATTTAAAAGGACACATTAGCCGTAATTAGCTCAGTGGATAGAGTGTCGGCCTGTGGACCGAAGGGTCTCAAGTTTGATTCAAGGGCACATGCCTGGGTTGCAGGCTTGGTTTCTATCTCTCCCTTCCTCTATGAAATCAATAAAAAAGCATATATATAATATAAAGAAAAAGAAACACTAATTGTTAAATATCTCCCTCTTCATAGACTTTTTATCTTCCTTTCTGCCTAATTCACAATGGATTGTGAGACCAAGATTTCTCAAATATTTAACATACTTGATAAGTGGATGACGTTCAAAAGCATTTTCTTAAAATGTTAAAGAGCCCGGATGGCATGGCCCAGAGGTTGAGTGCCGACATACGAATCATGAGGACACGGTTCAAATACCGGTCAGAGCACATGCCCGGGTTGTGAGCTCGATCCCCAGTGTGGGGCGTGCAGAAGGCAGCTCATCAATGATTCTCTCTCGTCACTGATGCTTTTATCTCTTTTTCCCTCTCCCTTCCTCTCTGAAATAAATTAAAATACTTTTTTAAAATAATAAAATAAAAGGTAAATGTTAAGCAGAAAAAGATATTTCTTTACCAATTCTATAATTATTTGAAATTACTTAGTACTCACATTATGAAAAAAAGAAGCTGATGTTAATTAAGGAAATATTATGCATGGATTTCTACAATTTTGTTGAAAGAATCCTTAAACTCACTATGTACTGTATTTTCAATAGAATAGAGAGTTGCTAACTAAAGATACAAAGTGACAGCATAAGGTTTCATTGTGTAAATATTAAATAATATCATAAAATTTTCTTGAAGTAATAATCTTGAAATATGATTAAGAGTTAGGCTCTAATTTCATGTTCTTTCAAAAAATGACACTATTCTTTCTAATGCTATATAGAAAACACAAACTAATTTTATACCTAAGATAAATTAACATAAGTATATCTAATAAAGATTGGTGTTTACTTTAAGAACTAAGCAGTATTTTTTCTTTCTTAAGCCTATGAAAAATTATTCACAAATCACTACTTAAAAGACATCTTCAAGACAAAATAACTACACAAAACACTTACCTCTAACATTTCATGTAATGTTATCAGCTGTATAGTTGATTCTTGAGTATTTTTCTTTGAGAGAAACATGAATAACAAAGAATTAACATTATGATTCTGCCAATGGCAGAATATTAAACTATACTTATTACAAAAAATTAATACTTCTTAATTGCAATGGTGCAAGGTATACTAAAATCAAATACTTACCTTAGGTGATTTAAAAAGAATTCTGAATATAAACAACCTGCTTGTACTAACAATCGTTTTCATAAAAAAAAGTTGGAACAACCTCTAAGACAGTGAAATTGTTTGCGATTTCTAGAAGATACAATTCAGACTATCTATAAATATAAAATGGATGCTATATTATATATATTTTATACTTACATATATAAAAGTGTAGTGTTTGAATCTCCCAATCAAAATAACCCAAACAAATGACACTGCAGACTGGATTTATACAGCTTCAGGACAGGAAACTTGCTTCCTAGAGAGCCTTGTTTGCTCATCTTTCTACAGTTCTCGACAGTCCGTAATGTTAACTAACTGGTTCTTTATCCTTGAAATGACAGAGAATCTTTTCCAATTCTATGCAAAAGTTCCTTAAACATTTGAAGCCAGCTATTATGCATCTCAGGTCTTTTCCAAATTAATCATTAATTAACCATTATTAGTTCCTTCAATTATTTTTCATAAGCCGTAGCCTTGTAGCCCTTCAGTATTATGGTTATTCTTTAAATGTGGTCTAATTTGCCTTTTTTTTTTTTTTTTTAATCCAATCTCCACAATGATATTGGTGTGATTTGAACACCAAAAGAAGATTCATTTCCATAGTTATAGATGCTGGAATCCTATTTATTACGTTTAAGATTGCATTAGCTTTTGGACATCTATTTCATCCTATTAACCTCTATTTGAACATATTGTCATTTTGAATATTCACTCAAGGATTTTTTTTTCTTTGATTTTTAAAGACATTGGACAGGAAGGGAAAGGGGGAAAGAGAGAGAAACATCGATGTGAGGGAGACACACATCTATTGGTTGTCTCCTACACGCACCCTGACAGGGGGCCGGGATCAAACCTTAAACTCAGGTATGGGCCCTGGACCAAGAATCAAGCCTGACACCCTCCAGTGCGGAGAATGATGACACTTTAACCACAGAGCAACGCTGGCCAGGGCACATAAACAGATATCAAACAATTCTTACCATTTTAAGTTACACGTGTTCATGGAAAATATTCAAAACAGTAAAAATGAAAAATCTCTCCTACGATCCTAGCCCCTACACATAAGCACTATTACATCTTTTGATATAATTTAGACATACAATTTAATCATCTATTTTTACTCATTTAACAATAAATTGTGAGCATTTAATTTATTTCTTTGGTAGTGTACAATACATTTTTTAAAAATATGTTTTTATTGATTTTTTTTTTTTAAGAAAGAGGAAGGGAGAGGGAGAGAGAAAAACATTGATGTGAGAGAGAAACATTGATCAGTTGTTCCCTGCTAGTGCCCCCCACCAGGGATCGAACCTGCAACTTGGGTATGTGCCCTGAGTGGGAATTGAGCCCACTACCTTTTGGTGTACAGGACAACTCTCCAACCAACTGAGCCACTGGACCAGGGCTCAATAAGTTTTTTAAAGCTGCACTTTCCCCATCATATGGATACAATATAAAAATATGTATTTAACTCCTCATATTGTTGAACAAGGTTGCTTTTAATTTTTCAATAAATTGTTAATGTAATGAGGAACTATTTCTCTACATCTATCTATGTGTATGTGTCTTTGAAATGTATAATAAACATGCAAATATTTATCAGAAATTTACATTTGATCCTATCGGAAACAATTGCATACATGAATATCCACATGAATGTTTTCTTTAAAACTTACCCCTTTCTTTTTAACATTTCTATCAGGCAGAGGAAAGTGGTCTTCTAGAAACTCACTCAAGGTAACCAATAGTTTCTCCTTATATTCTTTTACATCATGTAGTTTAGTTTTCAGCTCTTTAAAGGTTCTAACAGATTTTAAAATAATGAAGAGAAGTAGTTCACTAACAAGATACATAAGTATATATAACTGGTTATTCACAAGGTTGATCAAGAACTCAGTTCAAATTTTACTTGCTCAAACCAAATTTTACTAGTTTTACGAAAGTAATATTCTCTATTTAATATATAGGGAAACTAAAGTCAAGTTATTCATAAAAGATCATGTAATAATATAAATCAAAAGCTGGGATAAGACTCACATTTTTTTGGTAAAATTTACCCCTTTTCATGTTTAAAAAAAAAAAGAAAGAAAATACTTTCTCCTAATTTAAAAACACAGGACACAAAAATAATACCTTGATTCTGTCACAGTCTGATGCTTCAATTCATTGTGTAGTACAATGAGAGATTCAAATATCTGTTGCTGTTCATCCAACCATTGTTGCTCCCTTTCAACACAGAAAAATAAAATGAACAGCAGCCAAATAAAACATCAATGCCAAATCAACATATCAATGACTAATAGTAATTACAAATATACCTTTCCAAGTCTTCCTTTAACTTTCCATTCTTTGACTGAACAGTAGATAGTACCAATTCAAGATCATGTCTCAATTTTTGGAACTAGAACAAAATAATTCATATTAATTGCTTATTATTTAATCACACAATTAGTTATATTTCTGAATAATAGTAAAATTTATGTTTAATTCTAAAATTTATACTCAGAAATTTGCAGCAAAAAAGCTGAGCAGAAAGTCTTTAAAATGGACAGATAGAGCAGGTGCTAAGTTCTCTGTAATATTCCATTGTCAAATTCAAAAATATAAGATAGGGGTTTTTGAGCAATACATTACATATTGAAAGGCAACTTAAGGGTGAGTTTTCAGTAACCAGGTAAATTAGGTCTCTTTTCTTAAGGAGACTATACAAAAACAAACACAAATAAATACAACTATTATTCATTCAACAAATACTAATTGACTATCTGGCATTGTTGAAGGGAGTCAGGGAAGCAAAGGTGAACGGAACAAAAAGGGGAATCCAGACAAACAAACAAATATGTAATTCCAGTGAGTGGTAAGTTCTATGGAAAAAAGTAAGTCTAGCCCTCGCTGGTGTGACTTGGTTGGGCATTGTATCATGCACCAAAAGGTCTCCTATTCAATTTCCATTCAGGGCACATGCCCAGGTTTCAGGTTAAGTTCTGGTCAGGGTGCATATAGGAGGCAACAGATAGATGTTTCTCTCTCACAATGATGTCTCTCTCTCTCCCCATCTCTCTTTCTAAAATCAATAGAACATATTTTCAAAAGTAAATAAATAGATTTAGGGCAACCTCAATCAAAACTCCAGTAAGTTTTTTATAGGATAGAATGACAAGCCAACTCTATATGAAAATATAAAACAATTTTGGTAAAAAACAACAAAGTTAGATAACTCATACTATTTGTTTTCAAGACTCATTACAAAGCTCCAGTAAGTAAAACAATGTGGTATTGGATTAAGATAGAAACACTGAACCAAGAAAGAGACACATCCAAAGCACAGAATGGAGAACAAATAAAGAATCTCGAAGCAGATCCACCCATACATGGCAATTAAACTTCAGTAAAAGAAGTCAAAACAGTTCTTTCAACAATTTGTGTTGGAACAATTTGTATCTATATGCAAAAAATAAACCTTTATCCACAACTCATTTCATGTATAAACATTATTTCAAAGTGGATTATAAACCTAAATGTGAATTCTACAACTTTAAAATTTCTAAAAGAAAACATACATGAAAATCTTTGTGACCTTAAATTGGACAAATATTTCCTATATTTGAGCCCAAATTTTAAAAGTTGATAAAATAGAATTAATCCAATTATGAGCTTATGTTGTTCAAACGATACCGTTAAGAGAGTAAAAAGACAAGTTTCAGTGAGAGGGTTAACTCAGCAGGCCAAGGTTGCATAAACTCTGCACATTACCAAGAAAAGCTTTTCTTTAGGACTGGCTTCTGGTGGATTCCTGGAAGAGAAGCTGTGAGCCACTGGAATGTTCTGCCTATTGCGAGTGTTTTGCGTATGCCCGGGGCCTTGGGCCAGTTAGTACCAGTTTGATTACACAGTTTGTTCTGACTATGTCATTCCTGGGAAATGCATTTTTGTTCTGGAACTTGGAGTCTGCGTAGCTGAAGTCAGTCACAGAGGCCCAGCATGCATAGTGATGGGACTCCTGATAAAGACCATGGACAACAAATGCTAAAATGCATTTGCCTGGCTTTTTTATTTTTAAAAAAAATGTTTTTATTGATTTTAGAGAGAGAGGAGAGGGACAGTAAGATAGGAACATCGATGAGAGAAAAACTTTGATTGGCTGCCACCTGCACACCCCCTACTGGGGATCAAGCCGGCAACCTGGCATGTGCCACTTCTTTGTTCATGAGCTGATGTTCTACCACTGAGCAACACTGGCCAGGCGAACTTCCCCGCTGAGCCTCATTCTGACCAAGTTGTCACACATAGTTGCAGGGAGAAGCAAACACATCCACTGGGAAAGAACAGCTATAAGTTTGGCCCACCTGCCTTTTCCCTTTGCTCGTTTCAGTCTGTGTCCTCTCACTATAATAAACGCAACCGTGACTTGAATTGCTTTTCTGAATGCTGTGAGTCTGTCTAGCTAATCACAGAATCTAAGAGTGGTCTTGGGGAAAACCCTGACAGTTGGCTCAGAAGTGGACTTTGTGATCAAAGGAATGGTGGCATCAGAGGTCCCTTGAGGTTTCAACAATTTGAACAGTTATAATTCAACAAAGGATTTCCTGCTCAACAAATACATCTGAGAGATCCAAGTGTTGAAACAACTGAAGGGGGGCAAGTATAATAGAAGAAAACGGGGGAGATGGGGAGGGAGAAGAGCTGAGATAGTGCCAAGGATGCAGCCTGGATCTCGTAGCCCAGAATTCACTCTGAGGCTCAGCCTACAGAAGGGCAGAATCAGGTAAGCACTGGTGCTCCCCTCAGCAGGGAGGAGCAGAGCCATGCAGTGAGTATTCCTGAAGGAACTGTTAGTATGCACCGTGACTGAACCCAGTGACCTGGGTAGGGATGAGAGGCACTGTGATTAACCCAGGATTGGATGAAGACACAGAGGGGAGACCGCTGAGGTTTGCCAGTCACCATTCCTGGGAGAACAAAGCAACAAAGACAGCTGCCAGCTTCCCCTAGCTCACACCACCCCCATCCATCACAGCTGCATGTGGCTACAGTGGACAGCACTGGGATTTCAGATTTAGAGCACACTGCCCACCACATTCCCCACTGGGTCTGGCCTGTGAGACTGAGGCAACCTGAACACAGAGGAGATGCCCACCTTCCCAGGACATTCCCATCACACTGCAGAGCAGTGCAGGAGACTAAACAGCTTGTGCTTCAATGCAAACTACTAGAAAACAATAGAAAAACTTCTTATCAATTTATTAGAGAAATGCCACTCACATATAGACACCTCAGTAGAAAAGGAATCCACCATGAATAACCAAGATAACAGAGCAGCTCAAAAATAAAATAAAATATCTCCAGAAAATAAACATAAAGACATAGAAATATGTAATTTAAGTAATAGAGAATCCAAGATTACAGTTCTGAAAAAACTGAGTTATAAGAAATGAGTTATAAGAAAATACAGATATGAAGATTAATAAACTCAAAAATAAAATCCATGAACAAAATGAGTACTTTACTAAAGAGACTGAAACTTCATAAAAATGAACTTTAAAAACTTTTCTAAGTTGGCAAAGGAAATAGATAAATCTAGGAATCGCAGATGGTTCCAAACAAGATGAAACCAAAGAGGCCCACACCGAGACACATTATAATTAAAATGCAGGTTAAAAACAAAGAGAATCTTAAAAGCAGCAAGAGTAAATCTGTTACTTACCTAAAAGGGAGCTCCCATAAAACTGATTTTTCAACGGAAACTTTGCAGGCGAGAAGGGGTGGCATGAAATATTTAATGTGATGAAAAGCAAGGACCTACAACCAAGATTACTCTACCCAGCAAGGCTATCGTTTAGAATGAAAGAACAAATAAAGAGCTCCCCTGACAAGAAAAACATAAAGCAGTTCATCACTACCAAGCCAGTTTATAAAAAATGTTAAAGGGTCTTCTTTCAAAAAAAGATTAAAAAATAAATAAATAAAATGTCAATAAACATCTATCTTTAAATTACTTTAAATACAAACGGATAAAATGCTCCAATCAAAAGACACAGGATGGCTGAATGGATAAGAAAAAAGACCCATACATATGCTGTCTACAAGTCTCACTTCAGACTGAAAATCACACAAAAGTATAAAACAAATATTTCATGGGGAAAAAAAAGAAGAAGAAAAAAAGCTTGCCATAGCAATACTTATACCAGACAAAAACAGACTTTAAAACAAAGGTATAGCAAGAGACAAAGAAGGACCTAGTAATTCCACTTTGGGTGATTTATCCAAAGAAACCCAAAAGACATATGCATCTGACTATTCACTGCAGCATTATCTACGATAACCAAGATATGGAAGCAACTTAAATGTCCATCAATAGACAAATGAATAAAGAAGAACTGGTACATATACAATGGAATATGATCACTTCGTAAGTTATATAAAGGTCTAATCACCAAGTTGTATACCTGAAAGTAATATAACATTGTATGTCAACTGTAATTTTAAAAAATTTAAAAAAATAACAGTAATAAAAATCAGAGGTCCGAAAATTATAAAATATTCTCTTCAATAAAGCATAATTAATGTCAAAATAGAAAATATGGTTTTAAAGAGTCTTTATCCTATTCTTTATGGCATGAACTTACCTAAAACATTTACAGTAGGGTTACTAAAAATTCATTAAGTGACTTACCTCTTCTTTTCCTAATGTTACCAGAACCTCTTCGTTTAGTGGAAGTACTATAGAAACAAAATTAACATATGCTTAGTTAACTCTCAAAAGTCAAGAATTTGACTTTGTGGTTTCTCAGATACCCCTTTTCCTTTCCATTTAATGTTACAGAACTTCTTATGAAATATGTACGTTTATGAAATCATTCTTATTTAGCAGCTTTACATATATATATTATTTTAGATCAATGTGCTATCATGCTTTTTGTTTTCAGTGGCTTTTTCTTTTCTTGTTTTGTTTTCCCAATCATTAAAATTCAAAATTAACCTCTAGTACATTCCTTCTGTGCATAGGATCCTATTCATGTATACATATACACATTTATCTGTACATATACATGCAAGAGTTAGTAATTTTGTCAATGCTGGTTTTATAAGAATGGGATCATACCAGATAGTTATCTTTTAAAATATATATATATACTGATTGATTTCAGAGAGGACGGGAGAGCCAGAGAGATAGAAACATCAATGATGGGAGAGAATCATTGATGGACTGCCTCCTGCATGCCTCCACGGGGGATCGAGCCCACAACCCAGGCATGTGTCCTGATCAGGAATTGAACCATAACTTCCTGGATCATAGGTCTACGCTCAACCACTGAGCTACACGGGCCGGGCTAGTGATCATTAATTTGCCATTACTTTGTTTACAAAAATATAAGCCTAAAGATAAGAATCTTACTTTCAGGAATTTCTTTCTGCCATTGACTGAGTTCAGCAGTTAAACATTTCACTTGCATAATTAATAATGACAGCTATAAAAAAAAGAACAAGAGAATAAAACAAAATCATTTCTTGTAGAATATTCATAGCTATTCATGAAGAATGTGTAGAGATTCTTTATACATTAATACAAGGTCTTAACATAAATGGTTAACATAATATCTACCTAAACTATAAAAAAATTATCACTTCAAACAGAATTCTGCTTTAAACCAATTTATAGCTCAGAAATTGCCAGTTATATTAGTGATATTGTATTAAAAAATGATCAATTCTACTTCACCAGTAAATCTAAAACAAAAGAACCTAACTACATTAAGTTTATTCCCTAAATTCCTGCGATGCGAGAGGGAGATTTTTATACACATTTTACTAATTTTCTTTCACATGTGATACTTCTATTATAGAGAAAGGGCAAATAGCAATATTAAATTATTTCCTCTAATTAAGTCCCTTTTAATATTCATGAATTTTGTGCACCGGGCCACTAGTATATTTATAATAGCTTATTTAAGATAGTTTTTAAAATACTTCTCTTAAATCAGAAAGGGCAGAGAATTATCCAAGTGATTAAGCACACTTGACAGATAAACTTCTTATCCAAAACAATGAATTCCAAAGAAAAGAAGGTTTCATACCTGAGCATTTGAATCAGTGAGTGTCTCGGTTCCAATAAGTGATAATTTATTCTGATACTTGATTTAAAAAGTAAAAAGAAAAAAAACAAAAAAACAAGTCATACTATAACCCAAAATTTCCTCTCCCTCCCCTTTTATACCAGTCAATGTCATATTATTTTAAAACAATACATAATTACCTGATATAAAACAACAAATTGTTTTCAATTCCTCACTTTCTAAGCAAGAAGATAAGGAAGGCAGCCAAATTGGTCCCAAGATGAATACATTAAAAGAGTATACTAGACTCTATACAGAGTTTTAAAAATTAATATGGGAAATAAGGAAAAAAGAATGAAAGCAAAAACTAGGTGAGCTAGAAGCTAGATAATGAAAAAATGGGGAACAAGAGAAATCACTATAGAAAAATAACAAAAGCAGTAAGAAGACAGTTACGATTACAAGAAAATAAAGCCTTTAAGAGACATTTTTATCTGTGCCATTAAAAAAAATCCACAACTGTTAATAGCAATTATATCTGAACAAAATTATGATTAATTTAAATTTTATTTGTGCTTATTTCTATTTATAATATCTTTTTAAAAAATATATGTTTATTGTCGAAGCAGGTTTGGCTCAGTGGTAGAGCGTCGGACTGCAGACTGAAAGGTCCCAGATTCGATTCCGGTCAGGGGCATGTTCATTGGTTGTGGGCACATCCCCGGTAGGGGGTGTGCAAGAGGCAGCTGGTCGATGTTTCTCTCTCATCAACGTTTCTAGCTCTCTATCTCTCTCCCTTCCTCTCTGTAAAAAATCAATAAAATATTTTTTAAAAATGTTTATTGATTTCAGAGAGGAAGAAAGAGGAAGAGAGAGAAACATCAATGATGAGAGAGAATCATTGACTGGCTGCCTGCTGCCCACCCCTTAACTGGGGATTGAGCCTACAACCCATCAAGCCTGCTACCTGGGTATGTGCCCTTGATCAGAATCAAACTTAGGACCTTTCAGTCTGCAAGCCAACGCTCTATCCACTGAGCCAAACCAACTAGGACAACAACATCTTTTTTTAAAATATGAGTTTAGTTGAGCCAAATAATGACATAGGCCATGGAGCAAAATCTCAAATGCTCTAGAGAATAACAGTTTTGTAGCTTCTTTTATGCATTTGAAATTAAGGATAGAATGTATATGGAGGTGGGAGAAAGTAAGGTGGGTATTAGATTACAGGATAGTTAAAAAAATTATGTGCTCTCTTAATTTCCAACTAAAAATTTACTGTGAAGAATAAAATGTGAAAAAAATGACTGTGGCCTGCATCATATACTATGATACACTATCATTTGTTATTTAAAGTAGAAATAGGAAATAGAAATAGGAAAGCCTATTAGAAAACTATTGCAATAATCCAAGCAAGATGTGGACCAGGATTAATATTGAGGCTGTACCAAATGTCTAATTCTGAATATATTTTTAAGAAGGAGCCAATAGGATTTCCTAGCAGCTTACATATACTAGTAGTGTCAAATAAAGAGAGGAGTCAATTATTACTAAATTTTTACCAAAATACTGTAGTGTACCAAAAAGTGACTCTGTCTCATGAACTAAAAAAATACATATATTTCAAAAATAACATTTTCTAAAGGAACTCATACTTTTACTCAAACTCCAGAATTGGGTGTCCTCTAACTTCTAATTTCTCTATCTCAGGAAATAACTCCACCAATCATCCAATGGCCCAAGCCAGGAACTGGAAACTATTCATTACCCCTCACCCCCCCACTTCACAACAATTAACCTCCAAGTCCTTTGGTCCTACCCCCTTAATATCCCTTGAATCCATTCTTCTTTTTGCAATGACAGGATTTAGCCCTTCAATACTTCTTACCAGGACTACTACTACAGCCTCCTAAATGCTTTCTACCTGTAGTCTCACTTTTCTTCAAAACCACCAGAGTAATTTTCTCAACTACATATCTCATCAGGTCACTTTGTATTTATAACCCTTTCATGGCTCCCCACAGTATACGCTCAACAAAACTGGTCATGTTCTTGCTCTTAATTACCTCTCCAGTCTCACTTCACAAGTCCTCTTTTCCTAATTTACATAAATCATAATATTCTACATGGAGTTCTCTACTAGTAACTCTTTCAACGTTTATATATTTCGTTCCTTCTATTTTGTATACCTCTCCCAATTTCACAGGCTAACTCCTATTAATCCTTTAGAACTGAATTCAGTCACTCTTTTAGGACACTATCCTTGGCCCCTTCAGTCTAAGTTTAGGACTCCTCCTAAGTACAATCTTTATATTTCTACCACAATACTTCTAATATAATGGTTATTGCCTCCATTAGATGATAATCTCCTTGAGGGTAGTAGGGATTGCTGTAATTTTTTTCTCTTCCTACAGTTCATCTAGTATAAACTAGATGAATATTATAGGTCTAAAACTTACATAAATATTTATCGTTCAATATAATGACTTTCAGGAACCAGCCGAATTATTTCTTTCTCAAGTCTATTATTGAAACAGAATTAAATCTTATAGTAATTAATTGATATATCACTTTAATCTCTTGATACTTACTTCTTGCAGATCTTTCCACATTTCTTCACATTTTTTAATAAGTTCTTCCTTAGCAGCTGTAACATCTTCATCTGTAGTACTATCTGGATCTAGATCTTGGTTACTCATTGATATTGCCTTGTGATTTCCTTAGCCTTATAAGAAAACTTAAGGTAAAAAGTATTTGTTGAACACCTATTACTTGCCAGATACTCACCTAGGAGCTAAAGGTGTAACAGTGAGCAAAATAGATAAAAATCCCTCCTATGATGGTGCCTACATTCTAGCTAAGAAAAGCAAAAATAAGCCTAAAAATGTTAAAAATCATACTACAGTACATAAAATGATTTATAAGTGCAATGAAGAAAAGCAAAGCAGGGAAGAAATATAGCGGGTGCTGGGGAAAGGGCAATGTAATTTTACATAAGGAGGCCATCTGAAGTTACTGAGAAATTGAGAAATGAGCAAAAACAGAAAGGAAATAATTGAGACCCGGGAATGACGTGACTAGAGCAGAAGATGTAAGATAGAGAACACAAGATGAGGTCAGAGAGATGATACCATCATGTGGGCTTTAGGACATTTTAAGGACTTGGGCTGAGATAGTAAGTGATTAAAGAGGAACGACATGATTTAAGTAACATTTTAACAGTATAACTCTGGTTAATTACAGCCAAGTAAGGACAGAAGCAGGACAGCCTATTAGAAAGCTATTGCAATAATCCAAGCAAGATGTGGACCAGGATTAATATTGAGGCTGTACCAAATGTCTAATTCTGAATATATTTTTAAGATGGAGCCAATAGGATTTCCCAACAGCTTACATAGGATTGTCAGATAAAAAGAGGAGTCAATTATTACTAAACAGGTTTGGAAAGATGGTGTTGCCAATTACTGAGATGGGGAAGGTGATGGAAGAAACAAATTCAGCAAGGTTAAGAATTCAGTTTTGGCCTGGCCAGCGTGGCTCAGCGGTTGAGCATCAACCTATGAACCAGGTCACTGCTCAATCCCCAGTCAGAGAGATGCCCAGATTAAGGCTTGATCCCCAGTGAGGGGTGTGCAAGGGACAGCTGATCGATGATTCCCTCTCATCACTGATCTTCCTATCCCTCTCTCCCTGTCTGAAGTCAATAAAAGTATGTATATTTTTAAAAAGTGTGTATACATTTTTGGGGACACCCTATATTTACACAAGTCTACATAGGTATGCTTACTACAGCATTATTCATAAAAAAAATTTATAAGTGTAACTCAACAGATTGCCTACGTCTAAAACCTAGCTTCAATACTTACAAGCTGTTTGACCTTAGGCAAGACACTTAAACTGGCTGTGCATCAGTTCCTTATCTTTAAAATGAAGATAATATTACTTATACCCTAGGGTTGTTGTTATAATTAAATGTATTAATATATGTAAAGCTCTTAAAACTGTACCTAGCATATAAAGAGGTATATCAATATCAGCTATCAACATTACTATTAGCAATCTGAGTATCAATTAGTAGAAAACTGGTTAAATAACTTGTGCCATATCCAAAAATGTTTTCATTAAATATCTTCCTTGCTATACACAAAAGACATAGTTAAATTCACAAAACCATAGTCACTAACAATGTTAGAATATTTTTAAGCAAAAAGTAAAAAATATGTTTTAAATATGCCTTAATTTAGAAACTAAGTGTAAATTGTTCTTTCCCCACATTGTAGACTACTAAGCAATACAATATATTATCAGTATGCAAAAGCAATGTGAAACTGTGTGTGCTTGAGCCTGTGGATAGATATTCAACAAATTAGCTGGATTGGCAGCTCAATGTAGTATTAGAATACAATGAGGTATATAAAAACAATAAATAAAAACAACTAAAGGTTTAACTCTAGCCCTTTCCTACATTTTGTATCCTTAAATCTATCTTTCTGGAAATACTTCCAACGTCCTCAGTACCCTAATTCTGAATTATTTATTGATAAACAATACTGGTTATATGGGGATACCATCCTTATACAAACCTAAAACATCTAATACTAAATTTAAAAAATTCATACTAATATTGGAAAATGAAATACAGAAATACAGAAAGCACCCATACAATTCAAAACTGTAATCATTTCCAACAGATATGCCCTTAATGTGGCAATAGCTGTGTAGGTGAAAAAGTCTCTGTCTTCATGGAGTTTCCATTTTTACTGAGGAGAGACAATACAAACAAATAGATAGGATTTCAGATAGCAAGGAGTGCTATGATTAGGTAACTTACACAATACAGATTGCAAATGCTTTTAGAATTCAGGCTAGAGAAGAGCAGAGAAATCTACCTAGAAAAATAAAGGGCTTAGTACAGTGCTGAGTGCACAGTACCAGCTCCCTACCTTTGTCATTATCAGTCTTATCCTCATTATTTTTGCCATGGGTTTAACCGATGAGAAGCAGTAAAGGCGAAAGCTAGATGTGGTGTGGAGATGCTTTCAAGGCATAAAAACATAAGACTGGAAGGCAAAGATGAGCATGACAAACTTATGAGACACAAAACAGTGATCTGATTAGAGCAGAAGGCAGAGAAGAAATCAGACTAGCTAGGCAGAATAGGCCAAATAAAGGGAGTCTTTAAAATGAAAAACAAAACAAACAAAAACCCTTGGGAAGTACTTACTACCAGCAATTCCTTTCCTATATCTGGGGTCCACATCAAAGCAAAAGAAAAGAAGAGATTCACCTAGTGTGAAATAGAGTAGGTAAGCAGGCTATTAAGCAGGTTTTTGAAAGCAGTGATTTAGGGAGGTCATTTTGACAAGTTTGTACTTAATGGATTTAAAAACAAAGGATTAAGAGGGTACATGTCCTGTTAGGTGCTTGTCTTTAACCATGGGACATTTCTTTCCTTTTTTGTTCATGAAGAGAGCTGAAGTCCAGAAGGACTTACCCCGCGGGGTTCTAGAAAAAAAGAGCGGGACTCACGGCCCCGCGGGGCTCCCCGGGTTCCCGGAGGTCAGGGCCCCCCTCTCCCGGCCGCAGCCATCCAGCCCCGGCGGGCGAGACCGCCCCGGCCCATTTCTTACCGCCGCCGCCGCCGCCGCCGCCGCCGCCGCCGCCGCCTCCGCCGCCGCCGCCTCCAGCTGTCAACAAGCCTGCGCCCCGATCCGCGCGCGCTGCCTGCTGATTGGCCCCTTCCCAGCCAATCCCGAGCCTCTCTCGGCTGTGACGCGCCGGCTGCGCTGCCTCGGGATTGGGTGTTGAGCTGTGAGCGTCGCGCCTCTTCTGACGCTTCGGACAACATGGCGGCGGAAGGCGGCAATGATTCCCAGCAGAGGAGAAGACGGCGCCGAGACCCGGAGGAGCCGGAGAAGGCGGAACCCAAAGAGAGCGAGCTGGCCGCGGCGGTAGCCATGGCCCGAGAGAACGAGGAGGACAGCGAAGAGCGCTGGGTCGGGCCCTTACCTGTAGAGGCAACTCTGGCCAAGAAGAGGAAAGGTAGTGACAGGGAGAGGCAGGCTGCGCGCCCCGAGTGGGGACCTGAAAGCCAGACCCCAAGACGGTGGTGTGTGTGTGTGTGTGTGTGTGTGTGTGGTTTTTGTGCCCTCAGAACCGAGAGTCGTTCTTCTCACTTGTGTCAGTCTGCGCCTGGACGCGCTCCCTAAGTAATGATTTGGAGTCAGTACAGCGTCTTCTTGATCATAGCAAATACTATTAATCCGATAGCATTCGATATGGTATATAGATGCTAATGCTTCTTTATGCCAGTGCGTACTGTGTTCCTGACGCCTGTCCTTCAGTCCCTGCAGCGGCCTTAGGAGGTTGGAATCTGTAACTCGGGTTGGGAGATGTGGAAGAGGACCGGTCCTCTTACAGGCGTTCAGTTCAGGGGCGGTGGCCGTGTACTGGGAGTGAGGGAATGGCGGTGCCTATTTAGAATCATAATGTGTGTACGTAAGTGAAGATAAGTTGAACCCTGACTCTTCAACTAATGGGTTTTGTGATCCAGGGGTAAGTGTCCTGGATCACGTATTTTCTTCGAAAACACGAGCTCGGTGGTGGTTTTCAAACCGTACTGCTCACATACCAGGACAGGAAGCATTTTTGCTGTTAACGTGGAACAGTGACAAAATGTTATCCAAAACAAGTGAGTAAAGGAATAGATTACATTTCATTTTCCTTCAAGTTCTATGAAATGTTTCCTTAAACGGGTAAGACCATTAAAAATGTGACCTTTTAAAAATTCAAGTCTTACTTTATCACTTTTCCTTACTTTTTAATTATGTCTCATTATTTTTAAAATAAAGTCCAGCCGAAGCCGGTTTGGCTCAGTGGAAGAGCGTCGGTCTGCGGACTGAAAGGTCCCGGGTTCGATTCTGGTCAGGGGCATGTACCTTGGTTGTGGGCGCATCCCCAGTGGGAGGTGTGCAAGAGGTAGCTGGTCGATGTTTCTCTCCCATCGACGTTTCTAGCTCTTTATCTCTCTCCCTTCCTCTCTGTAAAAAATCAATAAAATATATTTTAAAATAAAATAAAAAAGTCCAAACGCCCTATGATGGCTTACAAGGCCTTATCTAGCCAGTATATTTCCATAATAACCCCTTGTTTCTCCTGTGCACTTGTGCCATACTCTTTCTCCACTGGATGACTGTTGGGGTATCTTGGTGTGTCTCTCTACCTGGAATATTTACCCTCTCACAATCCAGGACTGTTGGCTCCCAACTGCTCACCTGCCTGCTTTCCTGATTGCCCCTAACCACTTCTGCCTGCCAGCCTGATTATCCCCTAACTATTATACTCCACTGCCAGCCTGATTATCCCCTAACTACTCCACTGCCAGCCTGATTAATGCCTAACTGCTCTCCTGCCAGCCTGATTTCCCCTACTGCCCTCCCCTGTAGGCCTGGTCACCCCTAATTGCCCTCCCCTGCAGGCTTGATTGTCCTAACTACCCTCCCTTGCAGGCCCTCCCCTGCTGACCATCTTGTGGAGGCTATCTTGTGTCCACATGGGGGCAGCAATCTTGTGTGTTGGAGTGATGGTCAATCTGATATTACTCTTATTAGACAGGATAGAGGCCTGGTGCATGGGTGGTGGCCGGCTCGTTTGCCCTGAGGATGTCCCGAATCAGAGTGGGGGTTCCCTTGGGGTGTGG